ATTCCTACCAAATTCATTGAGATATCACTTCATAGTGTAAAGGACTGCAGTCTAAGTATATTACTGAAAAATCCAAAGTGTGAGTGTATGGGTGGGTTTGAAGTGGTACATGATCTGGGATGTACTTGATCACCTTGGACAGGTTGGGGGCAGGATCTTACTTTTGTTCCTCTATGGTAGTAGTTTCCTTCTTTGAACCTTCCACTGGTTTCATTGGAAGGGTCATGGGACTTGGAGGTGGGCAAAGGGAAGGCTGTGATGTGAAGGCATTAAAGGGAAGGTGAGATCCATGAAGATTAGGCAGAAGCAGCTTCCCGGAGTGCCTTGGCTTAATTCTCCACTGCCTTTGATAGATTCTTTGGGATCCTCTGTATAGCCATTTCAGGGAGCAGCAGCAAAACCAGTCAACGGCAGAACAGAAATCCTCTTTTGCCACCTCAGTTGAACTTACCTAAATTGGAATCCTACCTGTGGAACTTGGGAAGAAAGGGTGTCTTGGATGAAGTATTTATTTAATCTGTGTATTAGTTATAAATTTGATTGTATACTTACTGCTGATCAATATTATTATAGAAAATACAAGTGGGCAGAATGAAAATGAATCAGTAGTACCATCCTGTCCAAGTCTTTCAAATTGGCTTGCAGATCAGACTGTAATTTTTGTTTCTTGCTTTGTGTTTCCTTCCAGAGTTACGACATATGCAAAATGTGGAATTCCTCATCACCATATGAATTTTTGCTCTTGGCAATTTCAGAGGTCTATGAACTGCAAATCTTACTCTTCGTTGTGTTCCTGATGCTGTACTTGGCCACTATAAGTGGAAATCTTTTCATCATCTCTGCAGTAGTCCTTGACCATCATCTGCATACCCCCATGCACTTCTTTTTGATGAACTTGGCTATGCAAGATATTGGCCAAAGCTCAGTCATTATCCCTAAAACTATGGCTAATTTTCTCATGAATACCAGAGACATTTCTTACTCTGGTTGTGTTGCACAGGTCCTCCTGTTTCTCTTCTTCTTAGCATCTGATATCTCCCTTCTCACAGTCATGGCATATGATCGGTATGTTGCTATCTGCAGGCCTTTGCATTATGATTCTGTGATGAACAGGAGAGCTTGTCTCAGAATGGTTGGCTTTGCATGGATTTGTGGTCTTCTCTATGGAGTGCTCCACACCAGTGCCACCTTTGCAAATCCCTTTTGTTCTAACATAGTCAGTCAGTTCTTCTGTGAAATCCCACAGTTACTTAAGCTTGTCTGTTCTGATCTATACCTAATTGAAATTGGAGCCGTTGTGTTAAGTATTAGTGTTGTGCTTGGATGTTTTATTTTTATTATTATATCATATGTGCACATCTTCATTGTGGTTTTGAGAATCCCTTCTGTGGAAGGGAAGCAAAAAGCCTTCTCAACTTGTATTCCCCACCTCACTGTCTTCTCCACATTAGTACTCACTGGGTGCTTCGCCTATCTCAAACCCACCTCTTCTAACACCCCATCACATCTGGATATTATATTTACTGTGATCTATTCTATTTTTCCACCCATGTTGAATCCAATAATCTACAGCATGCGGAACAAGGATATAAAGGATGCCTTATCAAAACTATTAGGCTTGAGGTAACCTGGATGCACACAACCCTAACTTTCATTCATATATGTGGACTGAACTGTGTATATGTTCAGTTGCAGGCTGAAAATTTATCAAGGTGTCAGAAAAGGAATATGTGCATAGACAGTTTTTCTTTTTTTTGCATCATGAACATGGCATCTTTCCATGTACTAACAGCAGCATGAATAAAGTTGTCTAAAGAAAACTTCATAATACATGGAATAATATATATGGATGCACTATTTACACTTTTGGAACTGGTATACAACATAATGTTCAGGGAAAGGAATTAATTTTACTAGTAGTTTTTCCATTTCATTCAGAAATATCTAGATGATTGGAAGCACTGGTATTGGGCGTGTGGGGGGGGAGGCTATGTCAGTGTGTCAAATAATTTAAGAGCGCTCTCTCTCTCTCTCTCTCTCTCTCTCTCTCAATGAGATATGTGTTTTTATTATATATGTGTGTGCTTATATAATTAAAAATAATAAAACTATTCATGGAAAATCAGATGGTTAATAAGGTAGAAAACTCTCTTATTTACACATACTTTCATTGTGTCAACTTTTGAGTTTCTATGGAAAACCAAAGCAAAATGTATGCACAAGGTAGGTTGTTTTCATAGCCATAGCTCAGCTGTGGGAAAATAGAAAAAAGTAGCTTCACTTTGCTGGATTATAAGGCATCTCCATGAGGTGAGGATTGGTCCAACCAGAGAGTATGCTAAATTGCCTCACATTCGGGTTTTTGTAAGTTAGTGGAAAGAGATTTTTTTCCTTCCTTGATCTGAACAGTTTGGTGTGAACTACAAAAGTCATTCTACTCCATAGTCTTAGTAGTGCAGAATAAAAAGATTGTACTACTAATAATGTTTGAATAATCTTAGTTGATAGGACTGGAATGCTTGTTTCAGTCAAAAATTCTATCAGGCAAAACTGCACATACATAAGTATGCTTTAGGAGAAATTGTAAATAAAGTGGAGTAGCAATTTTCAAGGAAAGTTATTTTTCTATTTGGAATGAACCAAACTTAAAATTAGAAAAATGATAATCTAAAAGTTGCCAGAACTGACAGATTCGAACAACCCAATATTGCAATAATAATAATAATAGCAATAAGTCATTTCTATTCAGTGTGTCGCAGTTCATAAAATACAATAAAATCTGATCAAAACTTCAAATACTTTCAAACATGCAAGAACATGCAATGAAGAAGCCTGGTAAAAACATTCAGGGTGAATAATCCCCTCAAGCCCTTGTATATCCAAGTATATTTTGAAAGCCTTGGCATAAAGGGTCATTTTAACCTGGCACCAAAAAGATGACAAAATTGGTAGCAGGTGGGCCTCAGTGGGGAGGCCATTCCATTGATGGAAGACCATCACAAGAAAGCCCTCATTCTTGTTGCTGCCCTCAAAGCTTCCCCTCAGAGTTGGCACTCATAGGAAGGCTTAATGTAATGTCTGTGTAGACTGCAGTTGGAAGAAGCATTCCATCAAGTATTATGGTCCCAAGCCATGCAAGTCTTTAAAAGGATAAAACTAACAGCTTGTGTTGTGCTCAGAAGCATGCTGGTAGACAGTGCAAGTAGGCTAAAACTGGTCTCATAGGTTCATACCTGTTGGCCCCAGTTATTAATCTGGTTGCCACATTTTGCACAAGCTGTAGTTTCTGAGCAATCTTCAAGGGCAGCCCCACATAGACTGAATTGCAGTAATCTATGTATACTTGTATACTATGTACTGAGCAGAGCAGAAGTAGAGTTGGAAGTGGCCTATAAGGCCATTGAGTCCAATCCTCTGCTCCACTTTCACATGTGGTCACCCATCCAATTGCAAGCTTTTGCCTTTCCAACTTAGCAAAGGTGTCTAAACATGCTAGCTCAATGTACAGCTATGCAGAAACGCTGCAGTTTGGTTTCATCAGCCCTGTATGCACCCCAAAGAAACATCAAGGCAGAGAGCTTCATGGATATTTATTTATTTTATTTATTTATTTATTAAAACATTTCTATGCAGTGTTCTATTTAAACACTGAGCCTGAAACAAATCCACCATTCTGTGCGAGAAGAACTTCTGGTGGAAATGATGTTCACATTCACAATACATGCAAATATAATAACCACAATTTTTAGCAATTCTTCTAGTTTTAAACAGGTAAAAGACGCAAAATGCACAGGGAATATCTGTCATGATTTTTAATAGCCTGCTTCCAGCTCTTTCAAAGCATGATTTCTTTAAATGGAAGCCAAAACAATTTCATGTTGTGATCTGGAGTTCTCAGTTCAACATATTCTTTTGTCTGAGCATCTCCTCACCCCTTAGCACCTGTAAAAAGACCCAGCACCAGGTCCTTTGAGTTCTGACTTTTATTGTACAACAACTTTATTTAAATGAAAGAGATCTGCAGTGACCATTTAGCCTTAATACCAAACCAAAAAAACAAACAAACAAAAAAAAAAACCCTCTCCATATCAGATGGTGAAAAGGTGGCTTTTCTCCTCCTACTCCAATGCATTCAGGTGAACTGTCCAAGATAAGGCCAAATGGATCAATGGCTAGATTTACACCCTCACAGTCCATCCTTCAAAGTGCTAGGGGACTTCCTCTCTCCCCAGCCCTTGTTTCATGGCTTTCCCAGCTATTTTCAACATTACATACATATAGAAACTCAAATAGAAATCTATGTCCAACATTGCACACATGGAGAAACTCTGTAGAAACATCAGTCAACTTGCCAGTATTTTCTTCTCCATTACCTTTGGGGTGATCAATTCCCCATCCGCTCCACAAAAGACCCTCCAGAAGGCTGTTAGATATGGGCTATTGCGGAGGAATCAAAATTTGCCAAGGCTGTCAATATACTTATAATTACTGGACAGTACAAAACCCAAAAATGCTTAGGAAGGAATGAAGAAGCTCTATTTATTTATTATTTATTTTGTATGGTGGTGGTACATTAGCCAGGAGGTCTACAATGCTATGCAGAGTAGTTTAGCTGTGTAAGATTGCTAGAATTTTGGTTCACACCTGTGTGCTATCCATGGTGCACCACAGTGGTAGGCAATCTAGCTTTGCACATGCAACAGCTAGCATTAGTCTGCTGGAGTCCTCCAGACTGCCACCACTGCTGGTTCTGCTGCCGCTGCTGCAGGTTCAACATGGGGCTGGTCCACACGCTTTCCACACAGGTTGCTACTTTCCTCACCAGGGTGGGTACCCATTTATCTACTTGTGCTTTTACATGCTTTCAAGCTGCTGGGCTGGTGGAAGCTGGGACAGGCAGTGGGTGCCTGCCCCACTGCATGGATTCAAACTGCTGGCTTCCTCATCCACAATTCAGCAGCTGAGTGGTTTAACCCATGGTGCCACCTCGCATCCCAAGACTGTACTGCTAATAGAGAGCAGTGGTTCACTAAGACTTTGCATTATAACCCTTTACTGACCATCCTACATTTTGCCTAGGTATTAAAGATACTCAGTTTCCTCTGAATTTGTCCTTTCTGGATTAAATACCTTTGTGTTTGCCTGACTGAAAATGTCCCATTCCAGACCAATGTAATTTGCTCACAATGGGTGGCTTAAGATTGTAATAAATATATGCATACATTTCTGCAAAGCTACAATGCTGCATACTGAAGCATTTATCCTAGAGACAAGTATTCAATACATTTATACTCTATTACAAGAAGTTTTAACATAAAACTCCATATTGTAATATTTTCCTTAAAGCAGCCTTGATCTCCCTGTTTCTCATGCTGTAGATAAAGGGATTCAAGGTGGGAGGAATTATTCTGTATATCACAGTGAAACGTATATCAAGACCAGAAGAAGCTTCAGTGGCAGGCTTTGCACAGACAAATACTGCAGTGAATATGAGCAAAGAGACCACAGTGAGATGGGGAAGACAAGTGGAGAGGGCTTTCTTCTGACCATGTACAGAGGGGATTTTGAGCACTGCAAAAAAGATCTGCATGTAGGTTAAACTGATGAAGATGAAGCATCCTAGTGCTAAAGTGCAGCCTAGGACAAGGAAGTCAACTTCAATCACGTAAATTTCAGAGCAGGAGAGCTTTATTAACTGTGGGATTTCACAGAAGAACTGATGGATGATGTTGGAGCAGAAGGTCATGGCAAAGGTGCCGCCAAGGTGTAGGATGGAATATAGAAGACAAATCATCTCCCCAATCACTACCATCCAAAGACATGCCCCTTTGTGCATAATTCTCTCATAGTGAAGTAGGTTGCAGATAGCTACATTGTGATCGTGTGCCATTATTGTTAGGAGGGCAAGGTTTGTTGCTGCAAAAAGTGGTAAAGGAGGACCTGAACAACACATACAAAATAGGAAATTGATGTGTTATTCATGAGAGAGATAGCCATGGAACCATGACTGAAATTGAGCCAATGTCAAGTATGGCCAAATTCATCAGGAAAAAGTACATGTGGGTAAGTAGGTGGTGATCAAGAGCAATTATGATAATGATGAGAAGGTTCCCAGTTAATGCAATGAGAGAAACTGTGAGGAACACCCAGACGTGTAAGATCTGTAGTTCTCGGGCATCCGAGAATTGCAGCAGCAGAAAAGCAGCAGAAGACAGAAGTAAAATTGCTCATTTTCTCTTTGTTACTTGCATTCTATCTGTGTCAGGAAGAAGGCAAGACTTGTTTATACACCAATCTTGATCAAATAATTATTTGTTGATATTGCTCTAATTCTTCAAGAGATCATAGGTATCTAGTGAGAATTTGTATTCCCACAGAAGACAACATAAAACTAGTATAAATGTTACTGCAGCTGGATTACCTGGCAGACCATTGAACATCTGATGGTAAAGTTAAAGGAGAAAGGCACACAAGATTACTCTTTTATTTTTGTGAAAAAATTAAAAAGGAAAGAAAGTTCCAAACTGAAACATATACACCCCGACTGAATGGGCAGTCATCCACAGGACATTAAGCAGATGCTATAACGTCTGCTTTCATTCATGTAACATTATATCTGCTTCTGTTGTTTGTTTGCAATATGCAGTACCAGAGGGCCATTTTCCCCTTAGATCCAGACGACCCTGTTCTGCAGCAACTGAGAGTTTCACCATGGAGGGGAAGCAGAGTCATTTCACCTTGTCTGGGCATCTTGGGAACTTCCTCTCAAGAGTTCAGCACACCCAATTAGAAAACATTCTTCAAATTGCCTGCACACAGATGCATGCGTATAGACAAATAATGTCTTCCACTTCTGTAACACACCTCGATACTTATAGCATCCTTTGGACTAATTAATGTGGCATATAAGCTACAACAACAGCAACAACAACAACACTTAGCAGATGCCAAACATTTCTGAATGCAAAAGAAATGCTCCCTCAAGTGAGTGAAAAGCATGTTAGGCTTTCTCATGGATAGATTTTTGTTGGTGTTATATTGAAGCACTGTTGGCAAATGATTTAGTGCCCAGATATCAGGACATGGGTGGGGGTTGTGGGAGAAATGGTACATTTCTAGATGGGAGTATGGGAATGGAAAACAGCATGAGAAATGTGATAGTTCCCAAGGCTGGGCCCTAGTGCAAAGATGAAATGCATTGTGAGGCAGCCAATCAGAGCTCCAACACAGCAGTTGCAAGGCAGAACAAGGTAGTAGGAAATGAAGGCTGGAGACTCTGCTGCAGCCATGGCCACTCTTGCCACCAAACTCTATGATAGAATTGCAGAAACATGGCAACTGGGTTCAGACTACAAAACAAGCCATGGCAAAGCACAGAAACTTTGCAATGAGCCTTTGTTTCTCTATATGGTTGCATGGAAACCAAACGTACTGCCCTTTACCATGGATGCTAGGTTCATATGTAAGGAGAACCCATGCCCATGTAATTTTACCATGGCTTGTACTGAAAAAGTGAACCCACCTGATCAATGCATGGTCAGCCCTCAGAAACCTAATATTTTGGTGGCCAAGGGAAAGAATTGAACAGCTTCTAGAATTGAACTAGCTTTCTCAAAATACATGTTTCTCTTGACAAACTTCTGATTTCCCCCATCATTTCTCAACCACCCCCCAAAGAAAAGCCACTTTGCACAATTTTATCCATCACTGACTTTGTGATGAACACTCTCCCCCAACACTCCACCCAGAAGGAGTCTATATGATACTGTGATGAAATCAAATGCTGCCCAGGTTGCCAAGGATTTGTTGCCAGTGCACTTTATTTCACAGATCAACAACAACACCATCACCACTATGGGAAAAACTTAATGAAATGTTACCCTCCCATATAATACTATATACATTTATGCCCAACTATAAAGCTGAATACACAAGTGATTATACAAATATAAACATATAAGAGATCATACATCTGTATTCCTATAGAAAAAAAACTCTAAACATGGTTTTAAAATAGAGCTCCATAACTTAGTCTTTTCCGTAAAACAGTCTTGATCTCTTCATTTCTTATGCTATAGATGAATGGATTCAACATGGGGGGAATTATGGTGTATATCACAGCAAAAGCTATATCCAGACCAGAAGAAGCATTGATGGAAGGTTTCACATAAGAAAATAGTCCCATGAATACAAATAGAGAGACAACAGTAATGTGGGGAATACAGGTGGAGAGGGCTTTTTTCTGTCCATGTACAGAGGGGATTTTGAGCACTGCAGAAAATATCTTTACATAGGTTATAATGATGAAGATGAAACATCCTAGAGCTAAAGTATAGCCTAGGACAAGGAACCCAACTTCAATTAGGTACATGTCAGAGCAGGAGAGTTTTATTAACTGTGGGATTTCACAGAAGAACTGGTGGACAATATGAGAACAGAAGGTGATTGCAAATGTGCCACTAGCCTGCAATATGGCATTAAGAAGACCAATAATCCATGCAATGGCTATCATCTGAAAGCATGCTCCTTTATGCATAATTCTTTCATACTGGAGAGGGTTGCAGATAGCGACATTGCGATCATGTGCCATTAGAGTTAGGAGAACAAAACCTGATGTTGCAAAGAAGAGATAAAAGAAAACTTGAGCAACACATCCAGGATAAGAAATTGACCTGTTATTAAAGAGGGACATAGCCATGGATTTGGGCATCATAACTGAAACTGCACCAAGGTCCAGTATGGCCAAATTCTTTAGGAAGAAGTACATGGGGGTGTGTAGGTGGTGATCAATGCTAACTGCAATAATGATGAGAAGATTCCCTGTTAGTGCAATGAGGTACAATGCTAGAAATATCAAGAAGTGTAAGATTTGCTGTTCTCGAACCTCTGAGAATTCCAGCAGCAAAAATGTGAACATGGAAGTAAGATTACTCATGTTGCCTCTAGCACTTGCTTGCTACCTGTGTAAAGAAGAAGGCATAAAGAATTGACAAGTACTGATTACCCATGCAATTTTAAAACTTTCTAATTAACAAATTCATTTTATCAGATATTTACTTGTTAAATTAATACTGGGCAAATGTGATTAATTTTTGCCCCTCATCCTGGCAAATGCATAGAAGGCAAAGTGGAAATGTCAGTTCATTTGCTGGAGATTCTACTTGCAGGTTGGGTTCATGTCCAGTTATCTCACTGAACACATGCTTATACAGTAGGTTTATGGAAGGATAGGAATATAGGAATCACTCTCTGGAATATGCTTTCCAGAGAGGTCTGGCTGGTGCTGACTCTTTATTCTCTTCTGTGCCAGGTGGAAACCTTTCTATTTACCCATCATTTTAATAACTAAATTAATAATTTTAACATTTGACTCAATTTTGAAGACAAAAGGGTGATTGCTCATACCTCTAATTGTTCACAAGGTGATACTGATCTTGTGCGGTTTTGTTCCAGTGGATTACAACACAGAGCTCAAGTTCCTAAAGATCACTAGACACAAATATTCCTGCTGATCATTAACTATATGAGTGCCATCTTAGAAAACAGATCTTAAATAAGCACCATTGTCTTTTTGTGATAAAGTAGAGCTGGGCAGCATGTTCCACCACTACAATTCTACGGCGAAGTTGAATAAAGATCAGCTGGTTACAATAATCTCTGCATTGGTTCATGATTGTATGTGATTTTCTCCTACGACACTCTGTACCATGAAATCACTGTACTTTCAAGGCAAGCACTAAAATTTTGTATGTTCCAGCATTTTGAAAGTATCTTAGCAGGTGCATTACAAAATTAAACTGAGATGCTATCTTATTCTACTCTTTAATTTCACTGATAATTCTGACAATAAAATGTACTTCCAAGAAGTACAAATGTACTTCCACTTAAACAACAAGAGGAATGGATAGGTAAATACTAGATGAAAGGGAAAGGTTGACAGAGAGCTTTGGAAAGTATAACAGTTATGCTAAATACTAAAACTTACCAAAAGTCTTTAATTATCTTGGTGTAAACACTTTCATTTTAAGCTTGAACTTCCCTACCTGCTTCCTGTAGGGCAAGATGTTTCAGTGTTGATCAAGTACATGTATCATCCAAGCTGTTTTGATCTTTTGGTAGCAGTTCCCATATGAAGTGTATGCTAATATTAGAAACTCTTCCTATGTAACAATAGGAAATAAGGAACCCAAACTTGTAGCCATTTGTAGTTGCATCTTGAATGGGAAGGAGAGCCATTTAAGCGTCTTTGGACTTCTTTGAAACTTACTCCTGGGAGTCCAGCAGTGCTGAGTAGAGATAATTTTTGAAGCTTCCTATACTTAAAGAAACTCACTACATATATAGTAAAACAATAGTGTTTTTTAATTCTGTAGTAAACCTAAACTGATAATTAGAAGATGCCATATTTCTAAATACACAAGAGATTATCACACTTGTGACTGAAAACCATTCCTCAGAGAGGGATTTTTGTTTGTGTTATTATGTTGAAGTTCAGTTGGCAAATGGTCTGATGTAAAAAAAAAAAAAGTCAGGATGTGGATGTAGGTGGTACAGTAAAGTGCAATATTTCTGTGTGTGAATATGGGAGTGGCTGTCAGGTCTCGGATATGGGCCTATTTTCCTCACATTGCCCTTCTGTAGGGCAGGAAGATGCATAATATATCTCCTAGCTACAGGAAAAGCAGAGATCCCAGAATTGTTGTTGCAAGCTGAGTTTCCTCCTTCAAGCAATCATAAGTCTGACCATTTTCCTTGCAAATCCTTCTTTATTGCTCCCAAGTATATATCACCCAGAATACAATGGCTTGTTGAACCCAATATAATGTTCATAAGAAACTCTCCTTATGAACCTTCCTGGGCCCCATCCCCTCTGGGGTGGGGGTTTCTGAAGGTGAGCATGGAATCCTCTCTGCTCACTCACTGTTCATTCAGTTGGGCCTCCCACCTCTGCTTACACCTTGCCATGGGGTTGAGAGCAGGGGAGGCCTGGTCTGCATCTGAGAATTCCTTATTGTCAGAGGTCCCTCCTACTGGTGGCACATCTTGGTCATTCCCAGAAACAGCCTGGCCCAGTGAAGTGTCTGGCCTTGAGATAATGACCTCCTCCATCTCATAATCTCAGCCTAGTCCATTCTCCACAGTCCCACTGTGGCTTGCTACATATTCCAATTCTGAATCACCTAGGATGCAGTCAGAAGTCTGTGAGACTGATTGCACAGAACAACCAACCTGCTCACTCCCAACAGTTGTTGCTGTTTCTCAGTTTCTGTTAAATGATGATGACAACTTTTAATCTTCATGAGTTTGGATCTGTACCTTGGCTACCTATCCAAACCTTGGGAAGTTCAGCTTCCAATAACATGGAGGGCCACACCAGAGCAATCTGATCATCAGATATACCCAACTGTTCCACATAGGATGCAACACTGGACACAAGTGGAATAACAGCTTATCCTGGTTAATGAGCCCCTTAAGTTTCTCTGTTTGTTATACAGTTGTTCTGGCAGAGCAGCTGCTGGGGCTTGATGAAATGAGGGTTCTGAGACAGTTGCTACAGGAACAGCATACAAGGCATGAACCTCAACTTGTAGGAACAACATGGTATGCAGAACATTTGACAATTCCTGTAGTGACAACATGGTTTGGAGAAGTGGCCACCACAAACTGACAGGTCCTGGATGTAGGCAGCAGGTGTTACCAGGACCAGGGTGATGAAGCAGAATGGAGATCTTGGAATAATGTGAAAGCAAAGTCAGAAACAAGCAATGGTTGGACACCATCAAGACAGCAGGACCAAAAACGAAGACTTGTGGCTGACAAATCCACCTCTTCGTGTGTACACAGAGTGCTTGGTATGAGGTACTGAGGTAGAATTGTAATACTGCCCAGGGTGCCCATTTACCTGCTGCATTGGAAACTACAAAGGTTTGTGCTATACCCACTGCTAACTGTGGGCCCTACTTGCAAGGAACAGCTGCAGGATTTCTTCTCTTCCTGAAAAACTGATCACATGGTTCTTAACAATCTCATCTTGCACACCAGTAGACTGGAGAGTTTAAGCAGTTTATGTCCTTAATTGCTTATTATAGTCTTTCTTCCCTTCATATGTTTATGGTTTTATTGTGTTGTACAGAGCTATTAGGTAGTTTCTAAAGTGTTTGTGAACAAGTTTAAATATTTAAGGGACAAAATGTGTTTGCATTCACGTACAACAAGGCTAAGGATATTCTAGAATTAAGACTAAGGATATTTTAGAATGAAGCCACAAACTGTAACATTTAGTATAGCATAGCCTTGATCTCTTTACTTCTCACATTATAGATGAATGGATTGTACACAGGAGGAATTGCGGCATAGATTACAGCACAGCCTTTATCCAGTTCAAATGAAGTAGCAATGGGAGGCCTTGCATAAGCAAATACTCTACTGAGTACAGGCAGAGACAGCAGTGAGCTGGGGAAAACATGTGGAGAGAGAGACCCTTTCTTCTGACCATGTACAGAGGGGATTTTATGCACTGCAGTGAAGATCTGAATGCACATTTGCATGTAGAACTATGTTTTACACCATTAATTTTAACTGCTTGCCTTTCTCCCCCCAACCATCACACACACACACACGAAATGCCCCAGGAAGATGTTTGGTGTGGGTCAATGTGAGGGATGTGAAATGATGGCTGCTGTTACCTTTTGTAGTAGCAGCTTGGGAAGATGGGAAGAAGTATCACAACTCTGCTCATAGGGAGCTCCTCTTAGATAAACATTTGGAGAAATTTGGTGCATCAATTTCTGCCATTTCTCAGGCTAGGAATGGGTTGGAGCAATGGAGGCCACTGCTACTAATCTGAGTGCAGATGTGTTTCCACTCCAGATGTTAGTCTGAACTTAAAGGAACTTAAATACATTTTGTTGACTCCTGTCCCCAAAATAGGTTCAGCACCATGGATACTCATTAAAGTTTACAGTAAAATCTGGAACCAATACCTATTCCTGCTGGTATTGGAGTCACCTGCCGCTGCTCAATTTGAGAACATGGAGAAACTATTTGTAGACTGTGCTAGCTCAATCCATTGATCATTATCTGCGTCTTATGTTTTAATGTCCTGTGCACTGTCCAGGAATTTTCACATATCAGGTGATTTACATTAAGAATGTGTTAGAATCCATCTGTTGGTGGAAATCCAACAGATTCCCTGGGCTTGACCCATTGGACTTCCTTGTGGACATGTGTCCAAGTTCATGGTGAGCATGCAGAACATTCAAATGGCATTACCCTGAATCAATCCTTGCTTGGCCACTGCAGAAATAGCATTCCTCTTCCTCATTATATGCAAAAACCTTTGTTTTTGCTGCTGAACTTAACACAGAAGAAGGTTGCTGATTTCATAAGCAAGGTTTCACAAATGCTTGTGGACTTCTTATGAGCTTAGTTTTGTTTAAAATGGTTTAAATCTATAATAAATAAACAAATACATTTGTGTACAGCTATAATGCAAATTATTAATGTGTTTATGGTACAAGTTTAAACATTGCAAGGGCAGGACAACACAGACATTCACATGAAGGGCAATGCACAATTGCGCTTTTATCATCTAGTAAGTGTAGTAGAGGAACCCCCCAAATTTAACAGTTTCCACAAAGCAGTCTTGATCTCATTATTTCTCATGCCATAGATGAATGGATTCAACATGGGAGGTGTAATGGTATATATCACAGCAAAAACTATGTCCAGATCAGAAGAAGATTGAGTGGGAGGTTTTGCATAAGCAAAGGTCACACTAACTATGAACACAGAGAGAATAGTGAGGTGAGGCAGGCAAGTGGAGAGGGCTTTCTTCTGACCATGTTGAGAGGGGATTCTGAGGACTGCAGCAAAGATCTGCACATATGTTATGATAATGAAGATGAAGCATCCTAATCCTATAATGCAGCTTAGTACAAGAAGCCCAACTTCAACTAGGTACCCATCAGAGCAGGAGAGCTTTAACAACTGTGGGATTTCGCAGAAGAACTGATGGATAATATGAGAACAGAAGGTGTTTGCGAAGGTGCCACCACAGTGTAAAGTAGCATAAAGAACACTAAAAATCCACCCAAAGGCTACCATCTGAAGGCAAGCTCCTTTGTGCATAATTCTCTCATACTGGAGTGGGTTGCAGATAGCCACATTGCGATCATGTGCCATTATTGTTAGGAGGACAAAATCTGATATCCCAAAGAATATATAAAAGAAAACTTGAGCAACACATCCAGGATAGGAAATTGTCCTGTCATTCAGGAGAGACATAGTCATGAATTTGGGTACTATGACTGAAATTATTCCCAGGTCCAAAATGGCCAAATTCATCAGGAAAAAGTACATGGGGGTATGTAGGTGGTGATCTAGAACAACTGCAGTAATAATAATAAGATTCCCTATAATTTTCATCAGGTACAATGCTAGGAAGACAAAGAAATACAATAACCGCAGTTCTTGGACATCTGAGAATTCCAGCAGCAGGAACATGAACATGGAAGTATAATTGCCCATTGCGTCTTCAGTACTTGTTTGTCCTTGTGGAAGAAGGAAGAATAGTGCAACAGCTACCAATCAAATGAAACAAATATCTCTTCACTACTTCAGTTTTGGGAAAGAATGAGGTCATTAATTTGCCTCCTTAAAGCTTTCATGACAGTGGCCATTTTCATTCCTACCGAATTGTATGTAGGAGAAAGTGGGCTGTGCCCGCAGAACTGCTGCTCGTGTCAACATATTCTCCCATCTGAGGGCAAAGTAGAAAACTAGAATTCTTGCTCAGGGTTGTGATGCACTCCATGCAAAATCCAAAACAGTGATTCAGAATAAGCATAGTCATCAGTGAAGTGAACTTTTTCCTACCCCTGGTGTGTCCCCAGCCAAAATCATTGGAAAGAAAGTTGTTATGGAAATCTTTGGAGTTGTTTCTCAGTTTTGAAAGCAATAGCTAAACTTCAGCTTGTTCTAGGAGAAACTGCTGTAACCACAATGATGTCGTTGGATTCTGAATGTCACTTCCTTGTGAAGAAATGCTCCACTCACAGAAGGTCTATCCACCTGATTTAGTGGTTCTTCCACTCCATCTCCCAATACATCAAGGCCTCCTAACTCTTTGAGTATCTTTTCCAGGGGGCAAAAGGGGCTACTATGGAGAGAAGTGGGTGATTTAGTCCACTTCCATTGCTACCAAAGTTAAGGTTATCCTGCATTCTGAGTTCATGCTACTAAATGTGCATATGAATGCATTGATGTTAACACAAAGGCACCTTGTGCATTTCAAAGGCCAAAAATGTAAATGTTCAACAGAAATTATTTCTATACTAGTTCAATGGTTGATATCGACACAGAGTAAATTCATGTTCTCATTGAATGAAACACAGTGGTAGAGAAAATTTTACTGCAGCTGGATGACCTCTGTCATCAGGGCACACATGATCACCCCAATGAATGAATGTTATTTGCAGGGTGTTAGTTGGTTGCAACAATGTCTGAATTGTTCAAACTGCTATATTGAAGGATGATGTTTATTACAGTCATAGCATTCCAGATCAGCATTCAATATGTAAGTCAAAGAGGGTGCTGTTTCCCTCAGCATTGTGTTGTTCCAACAACTTATGGGAGCACTTGAAAATGCAACATAAATACATAAACAAATTCAATTTAATCACTTACCCAAGTATTATAAAGTCTTAAAATGCTTCCATTATAAAAATCCACCTCTGACTTCCTAGAGGTCAATGTGTAACTGGATGTGTGAGCACCCATGCATACTCCCATCCAAGCACTTCCAAAATTCTGCAGGCAATTGTCATATTATGTGGACACCAATATTAAAAACCAAGACTAAACAATGCATACAAACAAAACAATGCACACACATATAAAGAGAAAAAGGACCTAGTCTTCCTGTATCTAAGACTTACATCATGTATGGAAACAAGTATCAATTCAGCCTTTTGGGGCTTCCTGGGATCTTATACCCAGAGGCCCAGTCACCAAATTAGGAAACATTGTGGAAACTCTCCTTTCTCTGATGCTGTAGGGTGATTTTCTACTTTTGCAACAAACCTACATGGAGAATTAACACAGGCCACAGGCTTTTGAAAGGATAAAACACAATCATACTTCATGTGAAATGTTCAGGGTTCTTCCAGGGGGATATTGTTGCTGTTGTCTTATGGAAGTAGCATTAGCAATTAGTGCAATATCAACATACTAGGATGTTGCGTGTGAGTGGTTCAAAACACAATCCCTTTAGGTCTGTCAATAAACTGCTGAGGTTTGAGCATGGGGTCTTCTATGTGGCTCTCAAGTGTACTCCAACCATTTTCCTGGTTCTGCAATTCTGAGATTTCCTGACATGGTCATACAGCCCTGAGTGGCAACCTTTGGGAATCACCAGTGGCCATCATGGTGCTTCAGCATGCTCACCTTTGCTGTACTATACCTGCCTTTCCTATGTATACCTGACAGCAGATATGGCCAAATTAACACAAACCATCCCATCACCTTGAATTAATAACTTGCATGCCCAATATGTGCGTAAAACAGGCAAAAAGCAAACAGACTGGTTTGAAAGCAGCCTTGTCCATTGGTAATCTGAAACTGGCATCATCTGAATTCACACAGTTTCTGCTGCAAGCACATTCCTGCTCAGAAACTTTCAGGCACAGAGTAATGCTGACTATTACTACAAACTTAGAAAGTTCAGGAACACATTATCACACACTCACACACACAGCCATACCAATCAATGGTTACCTGAAGGAGCGCTTACATCCATATATGCCCAGCTGCCCCTTGAGATCAGCGGGAGAGGCCCTTCTCCGGGAACCCTCCATGAAAGAAATTAGGAGGGTGGCTACTCAGAGGAGGGCTTTCTCTGCGGTGGCGCCTAAGTTATGGAATGCACTCCCCAGAGAGGTCTGCCTGGCGCGTCATTATTTGCTTTTCGGCGCCAGGCGAAGACCTTTTTATTTAAGCGGCATTTTAACTGTTAGTATTATTTGATTTTATCTGGCCAGGGTGGCTTATTTTATATTGTATTTTTTGGATTTTTAATGTTTATATTTATTAATTTATTGTTGTAAGCCTCCCCGAGGCTTCGGCGAATGGGGCGGCATAAAAATGTTTTAATAAATAAATAAATAAATAAATAAATAAATAAATAAATAAAATGGGAGGAACTATAGTATATAACACAGCAAAATATATGCCCAGATTGTAAGATGTATCACTGGGAGGCCTTGCATAGGTGAAGATGCCACTGAATATAAACACGGAGACAACAGTAAGGTGGGGAGGACAAGTGGAGAGGGCTTTCTTTTTACCATGTTCAGATGGAATTTTGAGCACAGCTGAAAAGATCCGTATGTATGTTGCAATGATAAAGATAAAGCATCCTACTGCTACAAAGCAACTGAATACAAGAAGCCCAGCTTCAACTAAGTACATGTCAGAACAGGCGAGCTTTACTACCTGTGGGATTTCACAGAAGAACTGATGCACAATATTAGAGCAGAAGGTGATTGCAAAGGTACCACCAGTGTGCAAAATACCATTAAAAAGACCACTAAGCCACCCAAGGGCTATCATTGGAAGGCAGGCTCCTTTGTGCATAATTCTCTCATAGTGGAGTGGGTTGCAGATAGCGACATTGCGATCATAAGCCATTAGAGTTAGGAGAGCAAGATCTGTTCCTGCAAAGAAATGGTAGAAGAAGACCTGTGCAGCACATCCGGAGTAGGAAATTGACCTGTTATTCATGAGGGAGATAGCCAAGGATTTGGGCACCACCACTGAAACCGCCCCGATGTCCAGCATGGCCAAATTCAGCAAGAAGAAGTACATGAGACTATGTAGGTGGTGATCAAAGCCTACCGTAATGATGACGAGTAGATTTCCTGTTAATGTTGTCAGGTACAATGTCAGGAACACAAAAAAATGTAAGAGCTGTAATTCTCGGACTTCTGAGAATTCCAGCAGCAGAAAGGTAGACAGAGTAGTGAAATTGTTCATTTCTTCTTCATTTCTGGCCTGTCACGTGCTGGAAAAATTAATAAGAATTAATGAGAATGCTTAATGCATTGATACTGATCATGCAGCCAATTTAAAAATCTTTATCTTACTTCTGGAGCTCCTTCCTAAAATTTGTCTCAGGAGTCTCACACTCCTCACTAGCAGAGCTTGTGCAGCTCTTGCAAGTTAAACCCATTGGTGGGACCCTCAGTTTTCCTTCAGCTCTTTGCCTTTCCTGCTCCAGGCTTCCCTTAAGCTATCTCAGCCACCTCTAACTGGTTTCTGAAGTCCTGCCCCATTTCTTCTTCACAGTCCACCCACGGCAGCCTGACTGTTTCCCCAGGTCTGACATTCAGACTGACATTCAGACTTCTCAATTACACTCTACCAGTCTTCATGCCATCCTTACAGTTTCTTGGGCCAGCATCATCCAGTGAATCTGTTTCTACTGGAACCAAATTCTACACACTTATCTTTCCCCAATAATGAACCAATAGATCCAGAAAGACTGGTGAATAGCATCTGATCACAATGAAACACTCATTCCCTGTGCTTCTTTCACCAGTTTACCCATTAATACCCCTGATGTTTACCTTAACTTTAACTTAAAAGAAAACATGATTACATGGAAATCAAACATAATGCTGTAAGGGGACAAGAGAATAGCATTGCACACATGTTCCCATTAATGGAAGAGCAGGCACAATCTGGCAGGAATTCCCTTTTCCAGCTTCTAACACATTCATCCCAGATGAATGAGAAGGGCAGCACTTCAAGACACCTGTTCCTTTGTAGTAGCCACTATTTATTTATTTATTTATTTATTTATTTATTTATACATTTCTATGCTGCCCCATTCGCTGAAGCCTCGGGGCGGCTCACAACATTAAGTTAAAATACAAACATTAAGTTATAACATTAAGTTAAAATGTTTGTAAAATGCAAACATTAAGTTAAAATACAAAAAATAGCAATATAAAATAAGTCGCCCTGGCCAGATAAAAGCCAATAATATTAACAATTAAAATGACGCTTAAATAAAAAGGTCTTCACCTGGCGCTGAAAAACAAATAACGAAGGCACCAGGTGGACCTCTCTGGGGAGTGCATTCCATAGCTTAGGCGCCACCACAGAGAAAGCCCTCCTCCGAGTACCCACCCTCCTGATTTCTTTCACGGAGGGTTCCCGGAGAAGGGCCTCTCCTGCAGATCTCAAGGGGCGGGTGGGCATATATGGATGTAAGCGCTCCTTCAGGTAACCAGGACCCAAGCCGTTTAGGGCTTTATAGGTCATTACCAACATCTTGAATTGTGCCCGGACTTCAATGGGAAGCAGGGAAGCTGACGGAGGACTGGAGTCATGTGAACATAATGCCCCGTCCCCGTCAGCAACCTGGCAGCTCTATTTTGAACCAATTGAAGTATCTGGACCGTCTTCAAGGGAAGCCCCACGTAAAGCACGTTACAGAAGTCAAGGCGTGAAGTCACCAGCGCTTGTGTCACCATCGCCAGGCAGTCGTACTCCAGGTAGGGGCGCAGCTGATGAAACAGCCAAAGCTGAAGGAAAGCGCTCCTCGCCACTGCTGTCACCTGAGCTTCCAGTGAAAGCTCCGGGTCAAGGAGCACTCCCAGGCTGCGGACCTTGGCCCTAAGAGGGAGTGCAACCCCATTCAGGACTAGGTTCAATTCACCCTCTGCGAAGCCCGATCCACCAACCAACAGGACCTCCGTCTTGTCTGGATTGAGCTTCAGTTTATTGGCCCTCATGCA